CGAGCTGGCACGGGGTGCCCCTGGTGGGATACATATGAAGTCCACAGCACCACTTCTGGAGTGTTCTCCCCAACGTTTGCCCTGCATCAAACCAAGCCTCAGAGTCTAGACCTTACTGCCAGGTTATAGGAAAGAGGAAGGATGGAGGAATAAGTTGAGGGACACCATGAGGAAATACCAGACATTCTACAAGATAACTGATCTTTTTAAAAAGTCCATGCCATGAAAAAAGTGACAGGGTTGTTCTAGATTAAAAAAAAAAGTGATGTAACAATCAAATATAATGCACAAAACTTGATGAGCAGTGGCGTCACAAGGGGAGTACCGGGGGTGCGGACCGCACTGGGTGACACTGTCAGAGGGGGTGACACTAAAATGACTGTCTATAAAATTTTTGTGCACTGTTTCAGCAGAAATTTATTATTTTTTATAAAAATATCCCTGTAGCTACTTATAACAACAAAAACATCTTTCGTAAGCCCAGCTTACATGTATCAATATACCTACAAGGCTAAAACTCAATGCTGATTTACTTTTTGAGCCTTTGAATGCGCTCTGGTCAGAGCTGTCATTATTACCCAATTACAATGAGGCTTTGACTCACATGGTTTCATCTCTATGATTTACAAGCATGCGCTGTTGTTTTCATTACTGCCGGTGTTTACATAGTCACTGATTTTGTCAAATTTTCTGGTGTTTTAGCTACAATATTGTGGTAATTAGTACTTGTGAAACTATATCAATACCTTTTTTAACAATGAAGTAGTAATTAAAGGAAAAGAAGGAGAAAAATAAAAAGGGCTTTTGCTCAGTTACTAATAATGTTGTAATTCAATATAGATTTTATGAAATAATTTTGTTGTTAGTATTCATGTAATCTAAGGAATATTACACTTAAGCAATTTACAACTATGTTTATCACATATTATTCGATGATTAAAATTGATAATAAACATTACTAGGGCTTCTATATGGTCCTGTACTGGAGGAGGTCCATCGGTGGCGGGGGGGTGACACCATGAATTTACCACACTGGGTGACACCAATCCTAATGACGCCACTGTTGGTGAGTCCAAGTTAAAAAGAAACCAAAATAAAAGACATTTTTGGTCCAGTGGGGGAAATTTGAATGTACAAGTGTATTCAATAGTATTCTGGACTTTTTTTTTTTTTGCTTTAACAAAGATAAATTTATTATCTCACAGTCCAGTAGGCTAGAAGTCCAAATTCAGGGTGTCATCTCCAAGGGAAGGCCTTCTTTCTCTGTTAGCTCTGGAGGAAGGTCCTTGTTATTAATCTTTCCCTGGACTAGGAGCTTCTCTGTGCATAAACTTCAGGTCCAAAAAACATGTTCTGCTCCTGGTGCTGCTTTCTTGGCGGTATGAGGTCCCTCTGTCTCTCTGCTCAGATCTCATCAATGTAACATCATAAAAAAAAATATTGACATCAAGTTGATTCTGACCCATAGTGACTCTATAGGACAGAGGAGAACTGCCGCATAGGTTTTCCAAGGAGTGGCTGGTGGATCTGAGCTGCCGACCTTCTGGTTAGCCGCCAAGCTCTTAACCACTACGCCACAAGGGTCCTATTAACATCATAGAGATAGAATTTACAACACCTAGGAAAGTCAATCAGATGACAAAATGATAGACAATCACACAACACTGGGAATCATGGCCTAGCCAAACTGATACACATATTTTTGGGGGACACAATTCAGTCCATGACATTCTACTCTTTGGCTCCCAAAAAATTCATGTCCTTGCCACATGTAAAACACATTAACACCATCATTTCATAGCAAAAGTCTTAAATCAACTCCAAGGCTAAAATCTAAAAATTCCTCTTCATCTGTGAAATCTGGAATACAAGTTATCTGCTTCCAAGGTACAATTGTTGCACAGCCTTTTGGATTTACTTTTAATTTTCTTCGTGTGATAATGGTATTGTGATTATGTAGGAGAATGTCCTTATTCTTAGGAAATACAGTCGGAAGAATTTACAGATGAAGGGTCATGACGTCTGCAGCTTATTTTCAAGTGGTTCAATTAAAAAGTATATACATATGTGTGTGTGTGTGTGTGTGTGTATATGTGTGTGTGTGTGGAGAGAGAAATGGAGACATTGAGAAAGCACACGTGCAAAATGTTAACACTTGTTCAATCTTGGTGGAAGGTATAACGGTGCTCATTGTACTATTCTTTCAACTTTTCTGGGTTTGAATTCTTTTCATCATGGGGAAAATGATATTAGGTTTAGTTTTAGGACTGACTACGTATCAAAATGACTAAAATTTAACTACAGCATTGACAATAGTCAAAGATTGCTTTCTGGTCTAGCCTGGAAATGCCGTGTTCTACGCCGACAATATGTATGTATAGCGGTTGAAGCCACTCCAGCAGGTTGTGGCGTTGCTAAACCTGGAGTGACAGGGCCGTGAGCAAGTGGTCCTCCACCAAGCCACCAGCAGAGGCCACAAAACCACGCTCTTTGAAGGGGAAAACTGCTTTGGTAAGTCTTTTATATGTTGATTTTAAAATATATAAGTCAAACCAGGGGCCATTTCCATCCTTATCGAAGCTAACCACACTAGTCTAGCACAATGTCCTATTTTACAGATGAGGAAACTGAGGGCTAGAAAGGGGAAGCGGCTGAGACAAGATCACACAGTAAGTTATTGGCAGAGCTGGAGTTTGCACCCACGTCTCTAGAAAGCTAAGCTGAGGGTTCTTTCCATCATGCCCCTTCATCTTTTGAGCAACCCTATTTATCTTAAGGAGTCCCTCAGTGGCGCAAACAGTTAATGCACTCGGTTAAGGTTCATGTCCACCCAGAGGTGCCTTGGAAGAAAGTCCTGGCAATCTACTCCTGAAAAACCAGCCATTGAAAACCCTATGGAGCACAGTTCTACTCTGACACACAGGGGGTCTCCATGAGTTGGAATCAACTTGACGGCAACTGGTTATTTATCCTAAACATTTGCACGGCTCTCTCAGGAGCTCCCTCAGAGACTAATGACTTACACTTTGCCTTCTATTCTAAAGCCAGCTGCAACCCACAGAGGTTAGACACAGCAGCAGATGAGGAGTGGAGACAAGAGGTGCTATGGGCAAGCCAGTGACCCCAAACAGAAGTGACAGTGGCAGCAAGGGAAGTGACAAAGCAGATAGGAAAGTTCAAAAAACCCCTCACTCGGGGACTAGTCAGTGCAGTGCAAATAGTCCCTGGGACGTCCCTATTTGCAAGGGATTTCATAAGACAGTATAGAAAGACCTGCCATCCCAGATGGCTACAAGCCCGGGGCTCCACAAGTGTTGAGCCCTCAGTTCTGTGGAAACGGGCCCACCCTGGAGAATAGGGAGTTGTGAGGGCTGACTTTGCTGCATAGACCACGTTGCAGTCCATCCAATGCTCAAGTCCTATCTCACCAGCAAAAGCGCAGCTTCAGGAGAGCAGGGGCCACGCTCCGCCATTGCTGGCCACCATCAGGAGGCAGCATGTCAATTTGGAGCCAGACTGCCTGAATCCAAGTCTCAGCTCTGCCACCTTTTAGTTGTGTGTCCCTGGGCAGACTGCTTAACGTCTCTGAGCTGGTGTGGGATAGCCACAGCATCTACATCACAGTTTGATGGCATTAGGCTTGGCCCAGAGTCAGGGGCCCAGTAAAGATTCAAAGAGCTAGCCCTGCAGATGCCCAGGGGAAGGGAGTTCAGGCTGAGGGAAGAGCAAGGGTGGTGGCACAGAGGCAGGCGTGTGCCTGGGGTGCCTGTGTGACTCCAAGAAGCCAGCGTGGCTGGAGTACAGCGAGCAAGAGGACAAGAAGTGGGAGATGGGATCAAGGAGGTGCGGGGGGGGGGGTCACATTTTGTTTTATTTTTATCATGTTTGCTTTTTTTTGTTATTTCTATTTATAGAAAGAATTGTTTTCTATTTATTTGCTGATACAAAATGCCTCTTTAAAATCATATTATATAAGAATAAAAACAATTTAAGGAAACAGAAAGGATATACGGTCCAGTTTGCAAATGAACAAGAAGCACGTAGACTGTCCTGGGATACTAAAATGTGGGATGAGGAAGGGGCTGTCTCCTCCTTCACCTTGTTTCCTCAGCACACAGGGGTCTGGAATTCTGAGGATGAAGTTCACTGGCGACCTCAGATGTCACAACCAGAATTTTGAACTTGACTCCTGATCTCAGAGCTTTCAAGGAGGGAGGCTCCTTCAGATCATCTTATCCACCCCACCCCCACTCCATTTTACAGATGGAGAAACTGAGGCCCAGGCAGAGACCCAATGAAAGTCACCCAGCAGGCCTGTGACGTTGCTGAGCCCATGTGGGCTCCCGCCGTCCACTAACCTTGCGCTGGTCACTCCAGCTCTGTCCCCCTTTCTCTGGGGAGTTGAGAATCATGGAGAACGAACCCATGATTTCTGTCTGATCCAACACCCCTGCAGCCCCCATCCCAAATGCAGGAGAGCAACCCTTCCCCCGGCTCTGAGGATCCCATCTTCTCTGGCTCCCCTCACAGCCCCACATGGACAATCCCCCACCCCGCCCCACCCCGCCCTGTGAGCTGGAGGCAGTAGGCAGGGGAGGGCAGAGGGTGTGAGGGAAGCTCCTGGGAAGGAGGGTGGCCTGGCCCAGGGATCTGCCCTGGGGGCTGGCAGGGATGGTGTGTAGCCCCAGATCATGCTCTGGGTCAGCAGACACAGCTCTGGCCAACCACACCAGGTTACTGAGGGACGGGGGCCTGGAGGTTCCCTTGTGTCTGAGGAGACAGGGACCACCCTATCTGGGCCTGGAGGTTACTGAGGGATGGGGGCCTAGAGGTTTTCCCTTGTGTCTGGGGGGATGGGGACCACCTTATCTTGGCCTGGAGGTTACTGAGGGACAGGGACCTGGAGGTTCCTCTTGTGTCTGAGGCGATGAGGACCACCCTATGTTGGCCACTACTTCCAGGGCAGGCAGTTCTAGAACAGCAGTTTGCCCCCTTTCTGCTCACTGTCCCTTGGAAATCGGCTCGCATCTGCCAGGGAGAAGAGACCAGGGGTGAATTCTGAAGGGCTGGGGGGCCCAGGGCCCAACTTCCTCACCTCTGCTTTTGTTCATTTTCCTAGTTGCCTTGAGACACATCCTTATAGGAGGGTGGGGGCTCCACTAATAGACCATTGAGTGCCAACGGTGGGTCGGGAAGCTGGGACCAGTCGTCTACCTCCTGCAAAAGAGGAAACGCCCCGTCCTCACTGCTCCACTAGTTAACTTGTTGAAGTCTCAAGATTCCCATGGATTTGGGGAAACAAGCTCAGAGAGACGAGGGACTTCCATGAGATGCAACTGGTTCAAGTTGAGATTATATGATGGAATTTTGTCCTTGAAAGAAACGAGCCTAGGAAACTACTACAGGTCAGGGTGAGTGGGGTGGGGACAGATGTGTCTTCTCTTTCAAACTATACTCACTGCTGCGGAATCAATTCTGACTCATGGTGACCCCACATGTTGCAGAGCAGAACTGCTCCGTAGGGTTTCCTTGGCTGTAATCTTTACGGAAGCAGATTGCCAGGCTTTTCTTCCACAGTACCTCAGGGTACTTCTAGGTTAGTAGCTAATCACAAACGTTTTGTAAGACCCAGGGACTGTCTTTCAAAATATATCTAATTAAAACCTGGTCTCATTGGGCAGGTAGTCTACATGCTTTTAGACCCTCAGTCGGCCTTTCTGCTCCCCCCAACGGCAGACAAGAGGTTGGCCTGGGTCAGACACACCTTGTTCCAAGTCCTGGCTCTCCCGACTGCTGGGCTCAGTCCCTATTACCCCCCTGCTCACTTGCTCCCACCACAGCCAGATGCCACAACATGCTATAGCTTCCCTGTCCTGTCTCTGAGCCACTGCTCATGCTGTTCCCTCTGCTGGAGGTTCCTTCTCCCATCTGTATCTGTGGCCCTGAATTCTGCCAGTCTCCACGGACCTCACTGATGCACTTTCCTGGAGCTCTCAGAGCTGGGGGAAAGGTAGCCTGTTGCTCTGAGTGCCCGTGGCTTTTTCTCTTTGGTGATTGTTATAGATTGAATTGTGTCCCCCCAAAATATGTGTTAGAATCCTAACCCCTATACCTGTGAATAAGGAGCCCTGGTGATGCAATGGTTAAGCCCTCGGCTGCTAACCAAAAGGTTGGCAGTTTGAACCCACCAGCCGCACTTTGGCCGCAAAGACCTGGCAATCTGTTCCCTGGCCATCTGCTCCTTTAAAGATTTCAGCCTAGGAAGCCCTATGGGGCAGCTCTACCCTGTCCTATAGGGTCGCTATGAGCCAGAATAGACCATGGCACACAACAACATACTTGGGAATGTAATCCTACTTGGAAATAGGGTTTTCTTGGTTATGTTAACAAGGTCATGTTGGCGTAGGGTGTGTCTTAAACCTAATCCCTTCTGAGTTATAAGGAGCAGCATAAAGGGGGTGGGGGGCAAGACAGATGCCATGTGAAGATCACCAAGGAACCAAGGAATGCTGGGCTACAGAAGAGGCAATGACCTTCCCCTAGAGCCGGTGCCCTGAATTTGGACTTCTAGCCTCCTGAACTGTGAGTGAATACATTTCTGTTCTTTAAAACTGCCCTCTTGTGGTATTTCTCTTACAGTAGCGCTAGGAAACCAAGATGGTGGCCCTGCATTTTCCACCCTGAATTGGCATTCTCTCCCCCACGCCCTGTCTCCCCAACTGGACTGAGAGTGGCCTCTATTTGTGACCCCACATGGTCAATGCCCAGCAGATGTGGCCCCTGCCTGCTGCCTCCCCTTTGGGCTCTCTGTCATCTCGTGCCCCCATCTCTCAGGGGCTTGGTGCTCCTGGCAGGGCCCTCACCTCTGCAGACAGGCGGTGTATCCTCCAGGCCACCACAGCTGTAGGCCCCGGCAGGAAGAGCTCCAAGTAGGTAAAGCACAGCATGGCCAGCTCCAGCCTCTGGATGTGGACCTGGTGGGCAGGGAGCGGGAGGAGGGGGGAGAGAGGTCTTGCTGGGTGTCTGCAGCTCCTAGGCGGCATGAGGGGATGGGGCTCTGTGGGGCTGGGGTTGGCCCTGTCTTGGTCACTGCTCTATGCCTGGTGCATAATGGGTCCTGGGTAAATGTTTGCCTGTATTTGAGGCCCAGAGAATGTCATGAGTCCCTGGTGGAACTGAAGGTGACCTCAAGACCCATCTTATGCAATGGGCGTGACAAATGGGGACACCGAGGCCCAGAGAGAAGGAGTGTCTTTTCTAGCTGGTGAGGGGAAGAGCTGGGCTAAGGACAACCATCCAGCAGGGACATCTCATAGGGCCACGAGCATTCATCAGGGAAGTGCTGCATGTGTGCATGCGTGTACTTGCACAGGTGTGTGTATGCGTGTGTGCACATGCATACATGTGTGCATGTTTGTGTGCATGCATAGATGTATGTACCTTTGTGCACGTGTGCATGCATGCACGTGCATGTATGTGGTGGAAGGTGATGAGGAAGAGCTAACCACCGTGGTGAGAACATTGCCAGGAGGCGCCCAACCACCCTCGAGGAATGGCTAACCCTCCTTCTGTTTTTTCTCCAGGGGGAGGCAGCCGTGCTGGGGTGAAAAAGCGCCAGACTGGGAGTCATAGATTTGGCTTTGGGTTCTCACTGACACCCCCGCCCAACTTGCTGTGCACCCTTGGCCCACTAACTTAACGTCTCTGCACCTCAGTGTTCGCTCTCAGCTCTGCAAGGCTGTTGCAAGGCTCACGGAGGTGGTGGCGGCGGCAGCGGGGCTATGATATTTAAAGAGCCTCAGATCGGGATTCAGCAGTCGCAGGTCCTGGATTTGCTGCCAACTTGCTGCTCCATCTCAGGCAGCCCCTCCCCTTCTCTGGGCCTTAGTTTTCTCATCTGTAAAGTTGGACTTGATCCCTGGTGCTGACCCTGTGAGAAGGCCAGCACCTCCCTTCTACCATGTCCGGGAGGGGCGGGTTGAGAACCAGCTGTGTTGAGAGATCCGGGTCCTGAGCTTGGGCTCCGGAAGAGGTTTTCCTAAGAGCCGGAACTTCCTCTCAGGCAATCACAAGGCAGCCCCTCCTCAGAGCCGAGGACCCTCAGGCAAGCACAAGGCAGCCCCTCGGCAGAGCCGAGGACCCTCAGGGTCTGAGCACTCCCTGTGGAGTTGGGGTAAGTGCTCCAGATTGGCGCTTCATATGGGCTCTCCAGAAAGAGGTCCATGACGATGACAAAGATACAGCAAAACACGCAAAAGAAGCTGATGAGGTTCATTGTCAGGCACAACGTTTTCTACAGGGAAAAAATAAAGTTAACATTGTCGGCCAAAGGTCGGAGACCCGGATGCAGGTCCGCCTCCCAGGCCTGCCTGTGACTCGCTCTGTGGTCTCAGGAAAGATTCAGCCCATCCCTGGGCCTGAGGCTCCCACCCAAAACCAAGAGAACCAAGCTGCTGACCATTGAGGACCCGGCCAGTGACATGTCTACGGGACAGGATTGGGGGCCCCAAAGGCTGCCTCTGGATCCACAGAGATTGTAACAAAGAAGGATGCTCCCACCACCCCAACCATCCCAGCATCAGGTATGCCAACTGGTGGGGGACTTGACATCCAATGGACCCTCGCCCAGCCCATTGCCCGCAGGAGAAGATGGGAGGAGCCCTGGAGATGCCCTATCCCCACACACTCCAGTGCCTGCCCTCCTTCCCCAGCCACCGTGGTGCCTGAAACACCCCTGTCCACCATCCTCTTGGGTTAAGCACAATTCTGAGAGGCTTCTCTGTGACGGGTACAGAGTGTGAACCTATGGAGCCCCTAACCCTTTACACTAGAATGAATTTCTTTGTGAGAAGAGGGTCTCTATGCTCAGGTATAGGAATGGTGAGGCAGTGGTTCTGAAAGTGGCCCATCCCAGGAGGGATGTGTGGAGAATGGACATGTCTTTGCCAAGCATCTCCTGCCTCTGCTGGGTAAATGATACCAATGCCCTCCTCCACTCCAAGCTAGGCTCCCCGAGAAGACAGGGAACCAGGCAGCTCAGGCAGGACCAGGCCAGGGCTTCTGAGATAGAGATGTGTGAAGGGTCAGAGGACCAGGCCATGTATTTAGGCCATAAAATATGATTTGTAGGGATGGTCCTTCCATCATCCTTTTATCATCCATCCAGTCTTGTGTTGGGTGCCTACTCTGAGCCTACCTGGGCTACCTGGGTTACCAAGATGCTCAGACACCTGCTATCCATGCAGAGCCTAGCATACAGGGGAGACAGATGAGATGAGAAAGTCCTAGAAGCTATGGGAATACAGAAGCCATCATGGCAGGTCAGGGAAGACTTCCAGGAGGATACGACCTGTAAGTTGAGCCTTGAAGAGTTGATCAGGACTAAGTCAAGGAGAGGAGAGACGTGAGCAGTGGGGAGGGGACAAGGTGCTCGGGCAGGGCTGCCACACAGGCAGAAGAGGGATGGCAACAGTTCCATCTGGCTGGCACTCAGCGAGAAGCAGTGGATAGAAACCCAGCTGCTGGCTGAGCTTGCAGGACCTGTGGATGTGTGACAATGCTGGAGGCCAGCCCAGGGCACTGGGGAGCCAGGGAGAGCTTGGATGCAGTGGAGTGATGCAGGCAGGCCTGCATTTGAGAAAAATCGCTCAAGTTGCTTGGTAGGATGGGTTGGGTGACGTCTGGCCAGAGACGGTGGCCAGAACCGGGGTGGGGAGAGGGCAGTGGGATAGAGAGCAAGGCATGGAGACAGGGATGTGTAAGAGGTCAAACTCCGTGGACTTAGGGGAAGGGAGAGCCAAGCGTGGTTCTCAGGCTTCTAGTTGGAGGACTCTGGGCTTCTGGGTGGATGGTCACATAGTAACTGAGATAAAAACTAGGTCAGTTTGGGAGGAAGAAGAGTTTTGTTCTAGATGTGATGGGTTGGGGTTCCTGGGAGCCATTTCCTCCTTGTCCCATTGCCACCTCCCCACAAGCTGAAGACCTCGCCTCACACGACAGTGCGAAGACAGAAGGTTGATGGGTTCCTTGTCCTCCCACAGCCAAGTCCACCAGCCTGTCCACACCTGGACCCTTCTGTGCGGGCACCCTCTGCTGTCCAGAAGGCATGAGCCTGTCCTAGCAAACTCTTAGAGCTGCCTCCCCAATCACCACCACACAGTTGCCCTCAACAAAGTTACCCACTCTTGAGAAAGAAGAGAATGATCTCGATGCTCCAACTTACCAGGTATGCTTTAGCAAACATCGCCACTGCTATCGCCAGGATTCCTGAAGTGAGGAGCTGCAGGCCAGGTTTGAAACAGTCGTAGGAGAGACGGTAGCATTCCTTAAAACTCACAAATTCCCTTCCCTCCCCCTGTTCTCTTAAGAAAACCACCCCTGGTGGCTGACGGGGCAGAGAACACCATTCCCCTCACAGAGGATGGTAGAGATGAGTTCTTCCTGCTGGTTCAGCAGCCCTTACCCGCCCCACCACACCTCGCCAGCCTCCCTGTGGACCACGTGGAGTCGCCATGAGTCAGCATTGACTTGACGGCAATTGGTTTCTCCATTTCTCTGGGATCAGTTACCCTATCCCCTCTACCCCGACCTTTCCTCTTTTTCTGAATCCTTCAGTTTGGAGGATATTAACTCTTGGTTCTAAGGTCTCTGGGCTTTCTCCAATCATTCTTTCAAAGGTTTGCTAAGCATCTAGTATGCACCAGTCCTGGGAATACAGGGCTGAGAAGGCATCACCGGTGTAGACAGTTGCATCTCACTATGTGGTTCAAGCTTGGTGCTGGGGGCCATGGGAGCAGGGGAGGGAAATGACAGCGGGGGACCAGGTGGCCGGGTACCTTCGCCAGAGGGCACCCTGGAGCTGGGGCTTAGTGATAAGCAGGACTCCCCCAGGGGACTGGCGAAGGGTGGAGGGGCAGGAGGCGTGGAGACCTGGAAGAACAGGCTGCCCTGGGAGATGGCTTGGGCCTTGGCCTGGTCTCGCATCTGGCTGTTGGCCTTGGGAGGACAGGATCTATGTCTTATACCCTGTGTGATCCCATAGACTGACCCTGACAGAGACTTCTGGCCCTAGGGATGTACTGCTGGACCCAAAGGCAGCCCGGCTGCTCAGAAGCCTGTGGGAGAATCCACATTCCCAGGCTCATGCTCACCCTCCTCCCTGCGGGGTACACATGTTCACTAGGGGAGAGGCTGGGGATTCAGGACTGATGTCCCACTCCCCACCCCTCTCCCCAGGAGAGAGCTATGTCCCAGTGGAACTGAGAATAGAAACAGACATGGGGAGACTGGGAGAGGGGCTGGCTTATAGTTCCAGTCTAGCTCTCTTCTGCCTGCCCTGCATCAAGTCCCAAATGCCCTGCTGGTCCCCACTCCCCTGTGTTTTGGCTCCTACTTACAGAAGCAGCCCCCCAGAAGGGGTACCAACACCCCATTGTCACCACATGAAGGCTCTTGACAACAGAGGCCAGGTAAGCCCCAAGGAGCAGGTGTAGCAGAGCTAGGATGACTTGGGAGGCCTGGGCAGGAGAGGGCGGGAAACGGGTGCAATAAGACAAGGATGCTAGTGAACGGATGCTAAGGCCCTAAGCGAGGCCTGTGGTGCCCTGGGCCACCTGGCTGCAGTGAGTGTTCTTCCTGCCCTCCTTGGGACCCTGGTGGTCTGCAAAGCAGGACCCCTCCTCGGATTTCCTGCAGGGAGAGCAGAGGCTGCCAAGGCTCCCACCAGTGGGGGGTCCCATCTCTGGTTGTCTGGCTGCTGTTACCTGGCAGACAGGGCCCTGCTCAGGCCTTCCAAGGCAGTGAGTGTAGACTCACCCCATCCTTCAGTGGCGTTTCCAGTTCCAGGATGAATGCTGAATGCTAAGCAGGGAAACTGGAGGCTCGCTCGTCTCCCTCTCCCCTCTCTGGGCCCCCCTATCAGCATCCCTCCCTAGTAGCCCCTCCACTCCCCTCCTGTGCCCAGGGCCCAGGACACGAGACTCACCCCTAGCTCCTTGAGAAGGCTTCTCCTCTTCTGGGCCTTCCCCTGGGGCCATCTTGAAGGCAGGCACTCAGGTTGCATCACATTCTGGTGTGGACTTATCTGGCCTGGATGGGGTGGGTCGAGGGACTGCCATGGTGGGAGCCACCCGACTCTGGAGCTGAGAATATCAATGGGTGCTCTGAGGGTTTCACTTGTCACTGGCTCTGGTCAAGGAGAAAGGCCAGGTCAGAACCCATCAGTTTCTGAACCTTGTGCCTGAGACACTCTGTGGCTGTAACCTCTGCCCTCTGGGCCAGGGCCTTCAAGAACAGTGTTGTCCTGCCCCCTGAACTTGATTTAACCTGGAACAGCCTAGCCCCTGGGGATGAGGAGAGACTGCCGCTCACAGCTTCTAAGGGGTTACAGGGACACAGCTCCTTCTGAGGAGAAAAATGAGGCCCTGATAAACGTCACAACCAGGGCAAGGCAGAACTGACCCAAACTGGCTGGATGGTGGGTGGGCAGGAGTCCGGAGGTGCTGGAGACCTGGGCTGGTGGGGGACACTTGGTCACAGTCCCCAGCCTCTGGCCAAGGATGAGCTGGGATTGGAGGCAGGTGGGAATCAAATAATTGTCCCACCACCTGTGGCAACACCGAGCGTGCCTCTTGGGTTTGAGGGCATGGGGAAGAGAAAGGAAGGAAACTTCTGCTGGGGACTAACTCTGAGCTAGCACTGTGCCAGGAAGCCAACAACAATTACAACAGTCAACGTTTACAAGTACTTTCTCTGTGCCAGGCACTGGGATAAGCATTGGGCATGCTACCACCACCACCACCATCAGTTGCTACTGAGTCAATTCCGACTCATGGCGACCCCATGCGTGTCAGAGTAGAACTGCACTCTATAGGGTTTTCAATGGCCGATTTTTCAAAAGTAAATCACCAGGACTTTCTTCCATAGTGCCTCTGGGTGGGCTCGAACCTCCAACCTTTCGGTTAGCAGCTGAGCTCGTTAACTGTGTCACCCAGGGACTATTTTACATGCATTATCTGATTTTATCTCCATTCCAACCCTAATAGATAAATACTGTAGTTACTCCCACTTTGCAAATGAAGCTCAGGTTGAGACAGTTGTCCAGAGTTACACAGTGAATGACTAGGCTGGGACTGGAAGCCTGGCAGATGAACTCCAGAGCCTGTGTGCTTAGACCCTTCAATGTACTGTTTGCTCAACAAATGAAAATGAAAGATCCAGATGTTTAAATGGGCGTGAGAGAAGAGTTAGGAGAAACATTTGCAGGGAATTAAAAGTGCCTGATTGGGCCTGGTCAGCTCACTGTATGCTTGTAACAATAGCGTGGAGGGGGCATCTGACTTCCTCTAACGTCCCTCCCGAGGGGGAGAGAGAATCACCGTCGGCATCAACAGCCCAAGGCTGATTCCTGTGAATTGGAGGTCAGATGTACCTCCTCTCTCCACTCTTTTTAGCACTTCTGACACCGACCGTCCCTCCTGCACTCTCTACTTCTCTACTGGGTTGGATAATACGTTGCAATGGCCACACAGAACTCACAGACCATACTCATAGTTATGGGGTGTATTAGGGAGGTAACAGGTTACAATTCAGGATCAGTGACGACTCAGGATACAGTTCTTCCATCAGGACAGCCTCTTCATAGCCGTGTCTGTAGGCAGGCCTTTCCTTGGCCCTTGGCCGGCCTCTGACATGCTCTAGCAAGTGTTACAAAGCTCCTCAGCTCCGCCAATAAGTGCCTGGGGTGACCCCACTCTGCCAGCGAGTCTCCTGCCTGGAGGCACTCAGCTTTCTTGCTCCATAGGCTGGGAAGCTCACTGCTCCATCTCCTGCCAGTCTCCTGTTTCTGCTGCCTCTGCTACTGCTGTTTCTCTGATGCTGCTTCTTGCTGTCTTGCCATCTCCAGTGTTATAGCTCTCTTTCTCTCTTTGTCTCCTGGGTCTAGGAGGGTCTCAGAGCAGAAATCCTGGGTCCAAAGGATGCGCTGCATCAGCATCTCCTCTTCTTGGTGGTAATCAGGCCCTGCCCCACTCCGCCTCTGGGATGGCTCATTTTAAGCCTAGTGGGATGGCCCTTGTTAGGGTTCCATACACCTTATTTGCTTGATTCCACCCCAACAAGGGTGCCATGCACGTTTTTTGCATTATTAGCAAGCTGTGCAATCCCCTTGGTGGGCCACAAACACCTTATTTGCATAGTCCCACCAAGTCATTTGGTGGGAATTACAAGACCATAGCTAGAAAGGCCATATAAAAGCAATCCATCGCACTACAATGCTGATGCCATGGGGATACATCTGGGCTTCGGGGGCTGTCTGGTGATGTAGGGGTGTTGTTTTTAGGTGCTGTTGAGTTGGTTCCAACTCATAGCAAGCCCATGTACAACAGAACAAAACGCTGCCCATTGTTGCAGCCACTGTGTCAGTCCATCTCCTTGAGGCTGTTCCTCTTTTTCCGTCACCCTGTACTTTACCAAAAATGATGTCCTTCTCCAGGGACTGGTCCTTCCAGATAACATGTCCAAAGTATGTGAGATGAAGTCTTGCCATCCTCACTTCTGAGGAGCATTCTGGCTGAACTTCTTCCAGGATAGATGTGTTCATTCTTCTGGCAGTCCATGGTACATTCAGTATTCTTCCCCGCATCGATTCTTCTTTGGTCTTCCTTATTCATTGTCCAGCTTTTGCGTGCACTTGAGATGATTGAAAATACTATGGCTTGGGTCAGGCAAACCTTCGTCTTCAAAGTGACATCTTTGCTTTTTGACACTCGAAAGAGGTCTTTTGCCCCAGATACGCCCAGTGTGATCTGCTGTTTGGTTTCCTAACTGCTGCTTCCATGGGCGTTGATTGTGGATTTGAGTAAAATGAAATCCTTGACAACTTCAGCATTTTCCCTGTTTATCATAATGTTGCTTATTGGTACAGTTGTGAGGATTTTGGTGACAGGGTGAGAAACCTTGAAATCTTTCTCTGGAGGGTGGAGAGTGGGTAGCTGAGAGCTGGGAGAGGAGAATGCACTGACTTGTGAGATGCATGGTAGAGATGGTTTCTCCATGGGCCTGGGGCTAGTGAGCAGACCCTTTAAAGGGAGGGAGCTGTTCTCAGACTCTCCTGCAAAAAAAAGGGAGGGGGGAGGGGGAAGGCATATTCCGCTGGATTTCAGGAGTCTCTGGGTGGTGCAAACGGTTAAGAATTTGGCTATTAACCAAAAAGGTTGGTGATTTGAGTCTACCCAGAGGCTCCTCAGAGGTAAGCCCTGGGGTATGCTTTTGGGCAAAGTGGCTTTAAACTTCCAAACTTCTGTTCTGGATTTTTTTGGTCCTTCATTGCTCTCCTTTTGGTTTTCTCATGTGTATATGGTAGTGGTGGTGGCGAGGGGCAGGGATTGGCCTGTGATCTCTAGCGTCACTTTCGTGTTCAAATAATTCTCCCACGGAGTAGAGAGAGAGCTGCTCCAAGGAGCTTTAGACAGCTAGGAGGTGATTGCAGAGGGCAGGACTCAGATAGCCAGAGGGGAAGTCAGTTTGTTGTGAAGTCCTGTCTTCGCTTTCCAAGAAACACGGTATGAGCTCTGACTCCTTAGGAAGCTAACATCAGTCCCATCCTTCTGCCCTTTCCCTTCCCCACCTTGGGGACTTGGTGTGGGGCCCCTTGGGGGTGGGGAGTGGGCTGACAGAGAGGGGGAGAGCAGGAGACTGGTTGGGGCAATGGGGGGTACTTTTTAGCCTTGACCCCTCTCCAGACCCCAACTCGGGACCCACAAGCTCCCCTGGGAAACCCACCAGGGCCTTTGTACTCCACCCAGGGCCCACGTGTTCAGTGGGTGCCACACGTCTTCCCTTTGTTTAGCTCCAGGAGGCAGGGCTGGGTTACCCAATGTCTTAGTCATCTAGTGCTGCTATAACAGAAATACCACAAGTGGATGGCTTTAACAAAGAGAAGTTCATTTCTTCACAATCAAGTAGGCTAAAAGTCCAAATTCATGGCATCAGCTCCAGGGGAAGGCTTTCTCTTTCATGAATGTTCCCCAGGACTAGGAGCTTCTCCGTGCAGGGACCCCGAGTCCAAAGGATGCGCTCTGCTCCTGGCACTGCTTTCTTGATGGTATGAGGTCCCCCTGTCTCACTGCTCACTTCTGTCTTTTGTATCTCAAGAGATTGCCTCAGGACACAATCCAGTCTTGTAGATCAGGTCCTGCCTTACTAACACAACTGCCACCCATCCTCCCTCATTAACATCATGAGGCAGGTTTACAACATATAGGAAAATCACACAGTACTAGGAATCATGGCCCAGCCAAATTGACACATACATTTTTGGGGGAACATAATTCAATCCATGACACTCAATAAGCAAGGTAAGCACGGGCCCAATTGTGCCTTCCCACCCATCTGCAGTGCACAATTTCACCTGTCCCCCGCCATGTCACAGATGTGGTGAAACCATGTGAAATTGCTCACCACAGATTAGCAAGTAAATACAATTAAGCCCTTGTGTACCTTGCTCAATGCAAACTGTGCTTGCTGGTTAATCTGCCCCTGCCGGGAGGGCAGGGACAGAGAAAGAGCTGAGCCGGCTTTTACAGCTCCAGCAGGGCCTCAAGGGTCAGACCAGGAGCCCTGGAAGTCAACAAGCCTGGGTCAGAGTCTATCTCTGCTCCCACAAGGTTGCCCTTGGGCAGGTTGTTTACCTCAGTGTCACCCTGTCACATGGAGGGGTGATAGTGCCTACCCCTGGGAGTTGTGAGGATTAGATGGAATAATGTCTGCAACATGCAAGGCCTGGCACATACCAAACACTTGGGAAGCACTAGCCAGTTTTCCACTAGCCTGCCATGTGTCTAGTCTGCCACGTGTTTTGCTAGCCTGCCATGTGTTACACTAGCCTGCCACGTTAAGCTAGCCTGCCACATGTTATGCTAGCCTGCCACATGTTATGCTAGCCTGCGTTGTGTTACGCTAGCCTGCCACATGTTACCCTAGCCTGCCTCGTGCCTGGATCCTACCAGGCAGGCCCCACATTGTCCTCATCTGGTTTCTTCTAAGACTCACTTCTCCTGCTCA